GAGGAGTAACAAATTAAAACAGTGACATGATCCCAGACATGCAGTGTGGGATGAGCATAAGCTCAAGGATGCATTTATTATGTATGGAATTTGTGGCTGGATTTAGCCTTTAATCTTGCCTATCAAAAAAAAAAGCCCTTAAATCCATGGCTCTCCAGGCATAGTGAAATATTTGGAGTTAATGGGCTTTGTAATTTGCCACAAACATTACAACGTAAGTTAATCTTGAAAGAAATGAGACATGTTTTTGAGTGTTTTATTTTTCTTTAGTACAAGTACAAGGAAGGTTTTCGCAAGCAACTTGGCCACCACATTGGAGCCCGGAACATCAAAGATGACCCCAAGATGTTGTGGTCCATGCATGTGGCCAAGATCCAGAGTGACAGGGAGTACAAGAAGGACTTTGAGAAGTGGAAGACCAAGTACATCAGCCCAGTGGACATGCTGGGGGTGGTCCTGGCCAAGAAGTGCCAGAGCTTGGTCAGTGACGTGGACTATAAGAACTACCTGCACGAGTGGACCTGCCTGCCTGACCAGAATGACGTCATCCACGCTCGGCAGGCCTATGAACTGCAGAGTGATGTGAGTCTAAGATTTTCCTTTGGCCAACAAAACAACAAGTATGCTTTCCTAAGTATCAAAGTTCCCCCAAAGTGAGGGAAGTTGATTTTACACAACTGAGTTCTACTTCCCTGGACTAATGCCCACACTCTATCCAGTCATCCAAACATCTGAAGGCACCCTTTCTCCACAAAAAAGGAGCCAGCAAAGCCCCCATTGCTCGGGTGGGAGCCTCTAGGTGGTTGACCTAGATGAACTGGGTTGTACTCTAGGTGCAGCTCTTTAAAATGTGTTTCAAAATATTGCTTCTAATCTGAATATTTTGTTGATTCACAAAATATACAAACTTTTTAAATTTTCCAAGAATTCAAGCATTGAAATATGTAGTATAACATAATGTATTTTATTTTTTAGAGGTATATTTTTATGCTTATGTTTAGTCATATGTCACTTACAATTTCAGAATTTGTACAAGGCTGACCTTCAGTGGCTAAAAGGCATTGGCTGGTTACCTAGTGGTTCTCTGGAGGCTGAGAAGAACAAGAGAGCTATGCAGATTTTGAGTGACCATGTTTACCGTCAACAACCAGATCAATTCAAATTTTCCAGCCTTATGGACTCCATCCCAATGGTTTTGGCAAAAAACAATGCTATTACCATGAACCATGTAAGTCCTTTCTTTACTTGGGAGGAGTGTTAAGTGTGTGTGTGTGTGTGTGTGTGTGTGTGTGTGTGTAAGCACCAAAATCTCTTTCTATAAAAGAAAAATCATATTCAATTCTTTTGCTTTGTATTAAAGTGAGTGTTGTGCTTCTCACTGACATGAGACATCTAGACCTGAAGGTATTACAAATACCAACTCACAGATGAGACTCACCTTACTCTCATTAAGAACCAGATTATGTTTATGTATCTATTCATTCCTGGTCTATACTAGTCATGTCTTTTTTTGTTTGTTTTAGCGCCTCTATACAGAAGCTTGGGATAAAGATAAAACCAGTGTCCACATTATGCCAGACACCCCTGAAGTTTTACTAGCTAAACAAAACAAAATAAATTATAGTGAGGTAAGCAATATATTCATGGTGCATGATATATTTTCCCTATACTGTACTTTATAAATCAAACTTGTGATGACTTGTATCTGTTTCAGAAACTATATAAACTTGGCCTAGAAGAAGCCAAGAGGAAAGGCTATGATATGCGGCTGGATGCCATTCCCATCAGGGCAGCCAAGGCCTCCAGAGACATTGCAAGTGAAGTAAGTGCATCTGAAAAGTTCTTTGTCTTAGCTTTGGCTTAAAGATTCCTTTCTTTCTCTTGGGTATGTAGTACAGCACCTAATCTATGAGGTTCAAGTTCTTGCTAACAGTTTTTTCTCAATAAATAGTTTAAAATAATGATAATGAAATTCTCAACACAAGGGCTAAATCCTAACTGTGGTTGAGGTCATAGCAACATACATTTCAAAATACGGTCCATTTCCTGTTAATCAAAAACATTGGACACTTGACTGCAGTTCAGGCATACTGTTGGCTTTTCCACATGCTGTATTCTGATATATAACCAAACTCATTGTAGGATTCCTTTAAAACCCAACCCATGCCTATGAACCAATGAACCCACAAGAACTGAATGAATGGGACACATCATTCTATTTAAAGTCCAACCATCCATGTGGCCCATATGTTTGTCTATGCCTTCAGTGATTGGCTGCAGATATTTATTTTCTTTAAAAGATGAATTTACTCAAAAATATATTTTTTTTCTTTCTTTCCAAAATATGGAAGTAGCCATCATAAATTAAAAATAAATGTTCAAAAATCACAGGATGTTTAAAAGTATTAATATATACCAATATGATGGAATACCTGCTGCTGTTAAAAATTCATGTTTATAAAGAATAATTAATGACACAGAGAAATGGGCATATAACTGAAAAAAGCAGGTATATACAGTATAACTCCTAATTTTATTCTCTCTCTCTCTCTCAGATACACACACACACACACACACACACACACACACACACACACACACNCCCTTATGTTGTTTTTTTAACTTCCAAGAATTAACCACAAAAAATTCAGGTGACCTTGGTTATAGAGAATAAATTACCAGAATTTCATAGGAAAGCACAATCTCTTAATCAAAATCTTTAAAACAAAACAAAAATTTGGTTTAGAGAGAAAGAATGTCTAAAGACAGAACCTGACAATAAATCCTAAGAACATAAGGAAAGATTCTCCCTAATTCAATTATTTTGTGGCACTCCAGACGTGTAGGAAAATTAATTAGATGATGTATTATTACCTGCTCTCTGGCTTGCAGGTCAATACCTCATTAAAATGAATCAATGTGGTACAATAATGATGCTTGCCATGTTCCCCCAAAAGCTAACTCATTTTTATGTAATGTTATGTGTTCCCCATAAAGATAGTTTAGGAATTAAAGAAATAGTGTCAATAATTTCCAAAAAACACAACATTTGATGATACCTAATTTCTTTTCATGTGAACTATTAGTTTGAAACTTTTGAAATCTTACCCTAAAATTAAATTAACTATAAGTGAACTTTCCCACCATTGTAGAGATTGTGTCTCCTCTCATTTCAAATGGTTCTTGTAGCTATAAAATTTAAGGAAAGTAAGGCTACTTTTATAAATACTTTAGTTTAATCAATTAAAATCATAGAATTTTGAGTTAGAAAGTAACTTAAAGTTTATTTAATCCAATATCCCACAACATTCTACCTTCTCTTCATCTCCAGCAGGTAGTCATTCAATCTGTGGATTCTTACAAATATGAATATTTTTGTGTCTTTCAGAGCAGGTCATTTTCAACAACCATCCCTAATGGTCATTATACATTTTTTTTATTTTGAACTTATGTTACCAATCAACTCATGGTCTGTGTTCTAGAACTCCAGAGAGTAGCCTATTTCTTCATCTACCTGATATCTTTAAATGTTTCAAATTTCTTACTTATTCTTCTTTGGTTTCAGTGTAATAAGTCCTTCAATCTTCTAATCATTCTACTTGTGATTTACTCTATCTTTTTAAAGCCCCTCTCAAAATCGAGTGCCTCAAAACTTAGTGTTGTTTTCCCGTTACGGGAATTCAGGCCAGAGTAAATAAACTTCTCACTTGCCTTATCTGTGCCTCTACAGAATCTGTGACACTACTTTTTATAAACAGTTTTGTCAGATTGCCAATAATGAGCTTATAATCAACTTAAACTCCTGAGTATTTTTAATATACATAACTGTGAAGCTGGGTGTCAAGAAAGAGTAGAACCTACTTCTGTGAGGTGTTATGTGTGCTCAGTGTCTAGCATCCTGTAAATGCTATTATTATTATCATTATTATTATCACTGATGTTATAGTGATCTATCACTAATGAAATTTTTCCCAATTGAATCTAAGTACTGGATTTCACTTTTACTATCTTAAATTTAGGTAGTTCATGTTGACCCACCTTGGCCAAGGTTGAGATCTTGTGAAACTTTCTTTCTAATCTAACATAGTTAGCTGTTTTCAGCCACATGTGCATGAAGATAAGGACCCTGAACAAGAAAAATTTATATGACATAACTATATGGCAAATCGCTAAACATCCTGCTACTTAATAAATTAATCTACACTATTAGGCTTATTCATCAAGTCCTGAATCTTCCTAATTTTTCTGCCATTCAACTCATAGGTTTCCATTTTTCCCATAAGGATATCACAAGTGCTTTATCAAACACTACCCTGAAGTCAGCCTAATTAATGCTAGCACATCCCAAAATATATTTCTGCCTCTAATTGAAATTAATTTCTCACCACAACCTCTCTTGATACTCAGCTACATTACATTTCTTTGGAAGCCTCCACTTCAGTTTTTACATTTCTTACTAAGTAAACATAGGCATCCCTTCTCTCATTTCAGTTGTGAAAAACAAATATGCAAACAAACCAAACTGAGCTGAACTTAACCTCTGTTTCATGAAAGAACTGTTTTCTCTGATTTCAGTTTAAATACAAACAAGGTTACCGCAAGCAACTTGGCCACCATATTGGATTCCGGAGTCTGCAAGATGATCCAAAGCTTGTGTTGTCCATGAATGTAGCCAAAATGCAGAGTGAAAGAGAATATAAGAAGGACTTTGAGAAGTGGAAGACCAAGTACAGCAGCCCAGTGGACATGTTGGGGGTGGTCCTGGCCAAGAAGTGCCAGAGCTTGGTCAGTGACGTGGACTACAAGAACTACCTGCACGAGTGGACATGCCTGCCTGACCAGAACGATGTTATTCAAGCTAAAAAAGTTTATGAAATACAGAGCGAGGTCAGCTTCTATTAAATCAAATAGTTTAGATATTATTTTTTATCTCATATAAGTAGCCATTTAGTCATAGAGCAACAGAAACAAGAAAAAGGAGTTATTATTGAGTATAATACATAGAATCGCTTGAGTCAGGGTCCAGATGAGGATAGCACTTTGATGGCTTGCTTTGTATTTTCACAGAACCTGTATAAAGCTGACCTTGAGTGGCTGAGAGGCATAGGATGGAGCCCTCTGGGCTCTTTGGAGGCAGAAAAGAACAAGCGGGCATCAGAAATCATCAGTGAGAAGAAATATCGTCAGCCTCCAGACAAAAACAAGTTCACCAGCATTGCTGATGCCATGGACGTAGTCCTGGCAAAGGCAAATGCCAAAAATAGGAGTGATGTGAGTAACTCTTCGGAAATAAATAATAGTGCCTGATACCTGGTAGGTGCTTAATAGCATTAGCTTAATAAATTAGTAGAGTAGCATAGCATCACACCACACAGCATAGCACAACACAGCATAATGTTTTATATTTGATTGCTTCATTGGAATTACCAACTACACTGGATTATGTAAAAATGAGTTAGTATCATTTTTGTCACCCAAAGCTTGCTTGCTTATTTATTTATTCAATAGAAAACTATTGAACATTTATTTTCTTTGAAACTTGAATGCATTAAAGATAAACATTTTAAAAAAAAGATAAACATTTTTGTTGTTGGAATAGAGTGTATGAGAGGGAGATAGATGTTCTGCGTATCTTAACACAGGTACAATGTAAATGTTATAAAGAGTGTATTTTCTGCCAAGTGATTATAATACACACACAGAGGGTGCCAAAAAAAAGTATGCGCATTTTAAGAAAGGAAAACTGTATTGAAATTGTAATACTCAATATATACTGATAACAAAAGATGAATACAAGTCACGTTTGACTTTTGCAATTACAAGAGGTGCTCAAAGTGGTTCCCATCAGCGTCTAGACACTTCTGATTATGGCGAACTACTGCTTGAGCAACGTTGACCAAAGTGTCCACTTGTATATGTTTTTTTGGCACCCCTGGTATATATACATACATATATATATATATATATATATATATATATTCCATCATCAACTTATTTCCTCCTCCAGTGTCTGGCATATGATAGGTGCTCAATAAGTATTTATTGAATAAAATAATTGAAAGATAGCAGTGTAGAATAATTCTACGAACAGAAGGGAAAGATTACTCAACATTGCTCAGTTAGAAGCACAACCCTGAAAATTACAGGAAGTTGAATTATCTGCACTGAGATCCTGGAACTGGTAAGAATAGATATATAATAATAAGCATGTGGCTCTTAGAAGGGTATATATATATATATATATATATATATTTATTTATTTACATATATTACATATATTTATATTATATTATATTATATTATCCCATAATTAGCTTATAGTAAGCATTTGATAAATTGTAACGCCTGTCTCCCCAATCAACCCCTCACAGACTTCTTGCAATTTTGATATTCAGAATTTATAGTAAATGCTGACCTGTCAGCTTTATTACGGATGTTCAAGTTTTCATTTCTTCTTTATTTTTATGATGGCAATTTGAATTTAACAGGCTGACTAATAAACCAACAAATTTATTCAAAATATTTCCTCCTTTGTAATCCAAGTTGCTTTTCTCTCCATGAAACAGGGTTGTTTACAAAGCTCTAAACGAATGAGGTATCCAAGAAAACAATGCTGGATCATGAAATGTATGCACATCAGGGTCTCAGGATAGACTTTCCCAACAGTGAGCCCTGGTTACAGGAATACTGAGATACTGATGCCCTCAGACCTCAGGAGAGGGCCCCCTGGGTCCTTGAGCCTGCTGTTTCTCCTTTTGAACAGACCAATGAATTTATCTCAGTATAAACACATATTAGCATTTTCTCTGTTTTCTATGGGGTGAAAGTGACACATGCCATTAAAGAAATGGTCCAGCTTAATGGTTCTCAACCAGGGACAATTCTGTCCCACAGGGGCATTTGGCAATACCTAGAGACCTGTTTATTTGTTACAACTTGAGGGTGGCATGCTACTGGTCTCTAGTGGATAGATGTCAGGATGATGCAAACATCCCAGAATGTATAGGACAGCCCCTTTCCTCCCCCAAATAATTATACAGTATACAACACCAATGGTGCTGAGGTTGAGAAACTCTAATTTTACTTAATCAGAAAGCTTAGTGCAAAACCAGGATAAATGTACATGGAAATTCACAAGCTTTGCTTTGTTTTTGACTTGAAGATCTTAATCGGCTTCTCTGGGTGATATGGACTATAGTAAGCATGTTCAGGAAGGAGAGAAGTGCCAGCCTCCATGCCCCCCACACTGCATGCCTCAAAGGGAAATTGACAAGTCCAAGGAATCAGAGACTTTTAAAATTGCTACATTGAAATAATTTCAGGCATACAGAAAAGTTGCAAAAATACTACAAATAAATTATATATACATATATACAAAAATACTACAAATAAATTATATATACATATATACAAAAATACTACAAATAAATTATATATACATATATAGTATACACATATATATATTCACCAGATTCACTAATTGTTAACATTTTGCCACATTCACGTTTTTTCCCCACCCCTCTTTCCTTCTCTCTTTCATATATGTACCTTCATGATACCACTTTATCCCTAAATGCTTCAGTGTGTGTTTCTTGAAAACAAGAACATTCTCTTACATAACCACAGTGCAATGATCAAAATCAGGAAATAAATGTTGAAACCATGCTAGCCTACAGAATTTATTCAATTTGACCACTAATCTCCTTTATACAAAATGAAAAAAATACCATATTTCCCCATATATAAGGTGCACCCTTTTTTGAAAAATTTGGGGTCTTAAAACCTGGGTGCGTCTTATACAGTGGTTGTAGGGGTTTTTTTACTTGCATTTCTCTTTTTTTTTTCTCCGCACTTGTTTTTGTGCTATTACAACCACTGTATAAGATGCACCCAGTTTTTAGACCCCAAATTTTTCAAAAAAGGTTGTGCCTTATACATGGGGAAATATGGTAACTTTTCTGATCCAGGATCCAACAAAAGATCACACATTGAGTATACTTGCCATGCCTTAAGTCTCCTTGAACCTGTACTGGTTCCTCACTCTTAGTCTTCTAGGTCCGTGACATTTGTGAAAAGCAAAGACCAGTTATTTTGTAGACTCTCCCTCAAGTTCAGATCATCTGGTGTTTCCTTATGATGAGATTCAAGTTTTGTGTTTTTAACAAGATAACACATGTTATATATCCTCTCCGTATATCATATCAGGAGGAACATGATATCAATTAATCTCATTACTGATAATTTTAACTTTGATCACTTGGTTAAAATGGTGTCACCAGGTTTCTCCACTGTTGATACTGTATTATTGTTTGTAATTGGCCTTTTTGTGGGGAGGTTCTCTGACAATGAAAACATCTGGTTTTCATCAAATTTCCACGTTCTAGTTTTAGTAAGTCAATGTAATTTTCTTTGTGCCCCTTTGTCTTCTGTGAAGGAAGACAGAGAATGGCTCTGGGCCATATAAGAGTTTTTGATTAATTCTCACACAAAATTCTTTTGGGAATCCTAATCCTGCCAAATAATTATGAGGTATAACTATAAATAAGAAACCACATAGAAAATGAAATTCCCGAATTCCTAGACATACCTTGACTATGTCATCTTTTGAGAAACCATCATCTCCCAATTAAATGATGAAGAAGATGCTTACATTCCAACAGATGGAGAACTGCTGCTCCATTTGATGATCTTGGCAAAGGCTCCGATTACTTTGGTTGATTTCTTATAGGCAGGATTATCTGTCACTTTGAAAAAGTAACCCAAACCTATATTTTGAAAGCCATTTATGTCCCAGATAAGTCAAGAAATACTACACCTATTTTCTGCTTATGTTATCTGCTTATGCTATCATGCTATTATACAATGCTTAATTCAGATGAATTCAAGAATCCTGTTTGAAGTTAACTGTGTCATTCACAAGAACTAAAAACACCACTGAAATCTCTTATTTCTCTTTTTAGAGACTCTATAGAGAAGCTTGGGACAAGGACAAGACTCAAGTCCACATCATGCCGGATACGCCTGACATTATTCTGGCTAAAGCAAACTTAATCAACACAAGTGATGTGAGTTTCCCATTCAGCATGCATTTTCAGAAAGCTCACTTTAATTGCTCCTAAGGCAGTGAATTGGAAAACAGCGCCTAAATGATAATTCATTTCATTTCTCTATCAATTTACTTTTGCTTCATTCTCATAAGCATTTGGAAAGAGCTGGCATTTAATTTTGTTGATCTAGGTAATTGAAAAGCTTTAAAGTTTAAAACAAGATCATTAGCAACCAATGGGCATAATTTCCAATCACATTTGAGTATTTTAGAGCACAGATACTATTCCCATGGATTCATAAAATATTTAGCATGTTGGATTCATTATGCGGCAGTTGTTTATGAAAAACAGCTTATCCCAAAGTGATCTTCATCTCTTAACAGAAACTCTACCGAATGGGTTATGAAGAGATGAAGAAGAAAGGCTATGATCTTCCCCTTGATGCCATACCGATCAAAGCAGCAAAAGCCTCTCGAGACATTGCCAGCGAAGTAAGACTTTATCTCCTGTTTATATTGATTTCATTGCAATCTATCATTTTGAAGCCATCTCAATTTAATTTTACATTGAACAAAGTCTTTCGAGGAGTAACAAATTAAAACAGTGACATGATCCCAGACATGCAGTGTGGGATGAGCATAAGCTCAAGGATGCATTTATTATGTATGGAATTTGTGGCTGGATTTAGCCTTTAATCTTGCCTATCAAAAAAAAAAGCCCTTAAATCCATGGCTCTCCAGGCATAGTGAAATATTTGGAGTTAATGGGCTTTGTAATTTGCCACAAACATTACAACGTAAGTTAATCTTGAAAGAAATGAGACATGTTTTTGAGTGTTTTATTTTTCTTTAGTACAAGTACAAGGAAGGTTTTCGCAAGCAACTTGGCCACCACATTGGAGCCCGGAACATCAAAGATGACCCCAAGATGTTGTGGTCCATGCATGTGGCCAAGATCCAGAGTGACAGGGAGTATAAGAAGGACTTTGAGAAGTGGAAGACCAAGTACATCAGCCCAGTGGACATGCTGGGGGTGGTCCTGGCCAAGAAGTGCCAGAGCTTGGTCAGTGACGTGGACTATAAGAACTACCTGCACGAGTGGACCT